TTCCTTCCTTCCTTCCTTCCTTCCTTCCTCCCTTCCTTCCTTCCTTCCTTCCGTCAGTCCTTCCTTCCTTCCTTCCAGTTCTGGGGCTTGAACTCAGGGCCTAATAACTATCCCTTAGCTTTTTCCTGCAAGCCTGTTATGCTACCACTTGAGCCACAATTCTACTTCTGGCTTTTTGGTGGCTAACTGAAGAGAAGTGTCTCATGGACTCTCCTGTCTGGTCTGGCTTTGAATTGAGATCCTCAGATCTCAGCCTCCTGAGTAGCTAGGATTTACAGGCAGGAGACACCAGTACCCAACTAGAAACAATGACATTTCTATCAGAATCAAAACTTACTTCCCAAGGTGTTCTTTACATATTTGAAGATGGAGATCAGATTTCCACCCAGTCTTCTTCAGCTTCTCTGGTCCTCCAACAACTTGGTATCTAAACCAGTCCTACAGGTCCCTATTCTGTGTATCAGAGAATAAATTAAGTGGCATTGTACTGAGTGTCAGCAACTGTTCATTAATGGCACTAAGACATGACATTCCTTGTGTGTGTGTGTGTGTGTGTGTGTGTGTGTGTGTGGTTTCAAGGGATATACATACATATCAAAGAAGGAATGGGTTAAATTGCTCACTTCTTCAAGTCCTGATTTTTTAATCTATATAAGTGAGAAGAAATGCCTTTGTTGTAAGAATTGAGATTAAAGAACTGAAAAACATTAAAAGCAAAATCCCAATTATAGAGTTTATGCCTTTCAATTCTTGCCCAGTTTAGACATAGGTCAGGCTTGATCCACAGAGTCAGATGATCTGGTCTGAACCCCAGTTTTGTCACGTAACTGGCTGTGTAGCTTTGGAGAAATGACCTGACATTGCTGTGTTGCATTTTTCTCTATTAGAAAACAAAGATAAAGACCCGTTCTTTGGTGTTATTTGGAATGCATTCTCCTGCATTAAACGCATTGCCTCATACTTAATACATACCTTGGTTGTTTGGAGTTGTCTTCATTCTTACTCCTTCACAAGGACATAAGGGCTTCACTGAAATGTGGCCAATTCATAGCATTAATTTGGGAAAATGAGGCATCACACAGAAATAGTCCTGTTATTGAATGGGGTGCACGCACCCCTCCCATGTTTAAGACAGTGACTGTGTGCTTGGCACTGACTGCAAGCTTTGCTGAAACCAACTCATTTCAATACCCAGCAACTCAGTGGGGTAGCTGCTATCGTTCCTCTCTTTGTGAAGACCAAGAAGAAAGGTTCAGTAAGGTTAAACATCACTAGGCACCAGTGGCTCATGCTTGTAATCCTAGCTACTCAGGAAGTTGAGATCTGAGGATTTCAACTGGAAGCCTGCCCAGATAGACAAAATGGAGACTCTTACTCTCCAATTAACATCAAGAAGCCAGAGTGGAGGTATAGCTCAAGTGGTAGAGTGCTGGCCATGGGCAGAAAAACCTGAGAGAGAATGCCCTGGCCCTCAGTTCAAGCTCTAGTAGTGGCACAAGAAAGAAAGGAAGAAATAGAGAGCTAGAGGGAGGAAGGGAAGGAGGGGAAGGAAGGAGGGGAAGAAAGGAAGGGAGGGAGGGAAGGAGGGAGGGAGGGAGGGAGGGAGGGAGGAAGGAAGGAAGGAAAGAAGGAAGGAAGGAAGGAAAGAAAAAAGAAGGCAAGAGAGAGAAGGAAAGAAAGAAAGAAAGAAAGAAAGAAAGAAAGAAAGAAAGAAAGGAAGGAAGGAAGGAAGGAAGGAAGGAAAGAAAAAGAAAGTTAAATATCATAGCCAGAAAGTGATAGAGCCATCCCAGAAGTGAGGGTGTGGTTCAAGTGGCAGAGTGCCAGCATTGAGTAAAAAAGCTAATCAAGAGTACAAGGCCCTGAGTTCAAGTTCTAGTGCCAGCATATAAATGCGCGCACACGCGCACACGCGCGCGCGCACGCGCACACACACACACACACACACACACACACACACAGCTGATCCCCATCACCAGTGTCCAGTTTAATCCAGACCCAACTTCAGCTCAGCCCAGCAGAAACCTGAGCATGGCTTCCTCTCGAGCAAGGCTGCTGTTTCTGTGAGGAGAGGTGGGGGAGCCTCCTCTTCTTTTCTCACCCAGCTCTGTCCTTGTGCCCTCCAATGCTCTGACGGTGATGCTTCCCCCTTCCACTTGGCCTCCAGTACCCTCAGGCTGTATGCAGGGGTCTCAGTCCCTAACCATGAAATGGTTCCACACTGATCTACAAAAAGAAAAGGGAAACAACAACACAAACAAACAAACAAAAATCCAACCATTTTGGATGTGGGCTCTGATGCGTAATATCATTAGGGATCCAGCAGTGCATCCCATCCCATTATCGCCTGGCCAAGCCAGCCTAGCTGCAAATGGCTTTCTTCTGTCTGTCTGGGGAGGAGGGGGGAAGCACAGCCCTATCTGCCCTCCTGTTGGAGGAGAGATTTTATCTGTAATTGACAACTGGCTGCCTGCCACTGCCCTGCCTCTGCTGCTGGCTCAGGCTCTCAACTGGTTTTCCACTGTTGAATTCAGTAACAGGCTGCCCTTTGCTTTTTCTCTCTGCAGAGGGCCCTATGGTGCGCACTTTGCTCTTGTGTGCTCCCTAGATGGATCTGGATATGCTTGTGGCCCTTCTTTGTGTGACTGGACATGGAGATCTGAGAAATCTGTGGAGAAAACCCGAGAGTTGCAGGCCAGGGCAAGAAGGAAACAGACGCTTATTGTACAGCTGCTGTACATCACGTAAACACAACATGGCCATATTCTTACAATGCTTATAGAATAAGGTATTATACTCCCCTCAAGGGATGTGTCTCAGCCAGTAAATGGCAAATAAAGACTAAACAGAGGCTCACGTGACTCAGTTTATGCCTGTAGTGAGAGAGCGAGAAAGAAGGTAACAGACAGGAGATATCAACCTGTAGCCAGGACTGGCTATATCATTTGTAAAACTGAGTGCAAAATGCAGCTACAGGGCCTCTGTTCAATGATGACCAACTTCACTATGGTGACAGCCGAGCTCTGGACCCAGCTGAGTGACAGCAGGCCTTCCCTGCTCATAAGTCCATTGTGTGTAGCCTCTATGTGAGTGGAGGACAGTGAAGGTATTGTGTGGTGGCTGACATCCTATCTGGATTCGGGTATGTTCACTCCACATCTATAAGTAGCCCCTGATCAGCTGGGGGCTCATGGCTCAAGCCTGAAATTCTACCTACTCAGGAGGCTGAGATCTGAGGATAACAATTCAAAGCCAGTCCCAGGGAAGGAAATTATGATTCTCTTATCTCCAATTAGCTACCAAAAAGGAGTGGAGCTCAAAGGATAGAGCACCATCCTTGAGCAAAAAAGCTAAGAGACAGTGCCAACACCCTGAGTTCAAGCCCCAGTACACACACACACACACACACACACACACACACCCTACAAAAACAAAACTATAAAAACTCATGATCATGCCAGCAGTCCCATATTGGTCTTGTTCCATCAGCCATCCAGTCATTTCAGTGACGGGGCCTCTCCAGGACTTAGAGCTGGTGCCACTGCAGGGAAGGGGAGATCCCTTGCACAAACAGCAGGCTTACAGTGGGCCTCCCTGAACAAGGAAGGCTTCTTCTATGTCGTGGGGTTCAGGCAACAGCCATGGAGATCAGAACACTACCCAAGAGCTGTGGGTTGTGTTAGTTCCCTTTTGTATGGCTTTGGGAGCTCTCTTATCTCTGAGCATTTATCTCTAGGAGTACAGTGCGGGGATGAGCCCCATGGAGGATCCCCAGTGGGGTAAGATTAGGACCAGGTGTGTTGCGTTGCTCAGGTGTAACAGGTTGGAAGTCCCCACAGACCCTGAGCCCAAAAGGAGACAGACACACAGAGGAGCAGCAGGACACTTGAATGTCTTTATTGGGGCTCGAGCACAGCATGACAGTTGAAGGCGTGCAGACAGGGCAGCAGAGCCCAGCCTAGGCGTGCCTCAGACACACATAAAGGTACAGCTTTAGAAAAGGACTGACCAACACCAAGGAGGGGCAGGGAAGGAAGAGAGTAGGAAGGGAGGCCAAGGGAGGGGCAGAGGCCAAGGCTGAAGGGGCCACCTGGCCTCTGCTATTGCACTCATCCTCTGGCCACTGGCCAGGAAGTACAGTATTGCAACTGGTTTCCTCTCACCCAAGGCGTCCCCTTCTCAGACCCCTGAGCCAGATGGGTAGACAGACCCCTTCCCTGCCCGTCTGCCCAGCAGCATCTTTTAAAACATATGACAAGGGAGACAAAAAAAGTCAAAGGTGAAAATAACGAAATGCCCCACCTCTGCCAAGAGCACAGATCAGGATGTTGGAAGGAGTGGTTGGGCTACACAGGAGCCCCTGGAAGTCCCCCCACAACTGGAGTGTGGGGTGGGAGGTAGAGTCCCAATCTGGGGGAGGGTTGGGCTAGTGAAGCAGTGGCTGGGGGTGGGAAAGTGTGGGAGCAAGTCTCACCTTCAACAGATTCCAATAGGCCATCTGCTGGCAGAGGAAACACCCACAGAGAGAGTACACTGGGACCACCCTGCTGGATGGGCAGATCCCAGGGGGCACTTTTCCTGGGACATCACACACACTCACACACACACACACACACACACACACACACACACAGAGTCAGGAGAAAATGAGGAATCTGGGAAGGGGAAGAGGATGGGAAACAGGGTAGGGAGAGGGTTTGGGGAGACAAAGCCTAACAAAGACAGACCACCAGTAGCACGTGCACTACACACAGAAGTATAGTATGTATGAATATAGATACTATATGTGCATATATATCTCTTCAATGTACAGTAGAACAGAACAGCAGGACCCAGATGGTTCTGGGCCCTGAGGGTCACATGGGAGCTTTTCCACCAGTCTGGTATACAAACAAGGATATAGGAGTCTCTCAGCAAAAAGATTCGTGCCTGGGTTCCAGAGTTTCCCTATGTCTCTGGCTTTCTGTCTGTCTGTCTGTCTCTCTCACGTTGGCGCCGCTTTAAGAGAGGGTGAGGACTTCAGCCTGGGCATAGTTGGATGAGAGGGCGTCTTGGCAGGTCTCTGTGTTTAAAGAGCACAGGTGTGAGACACTGGGACGCACGCTTTCAGTTCAACATTGCCTTGGGGGCGGGGAGGGGAAAGCAAAGAGTTCAAAAGCAAAAGAAAGGGAGAAACAAAGAAAAAGATATTAGAAGGAAGCCAGCTGCTGACCTGCAGGCTGAGAGCTAAGGAACAGGCCAAGAGCAAGTTGGAAGGCATAGGGACCCCAAAGCTAAGAGGCAAGGAAGAGCCAAGATGGGTCAGGGAGTGGGGTGGGCCCTTCATCACCCCTCTTCCAACCCAGCTCGAGGCTAAAGGGACTCAAGTAGCCAATAGCTTCAGAAACAACCAGCTTTTCAGAGGTTCTAGTGTAGTGGGAAGAGGGACCATAACTCTCTCTACAGCTGAGCAGGAAGGCAGCGGGGAAAATGGATGTGACCTTTGGTTCCTAAGTCAGGACCCCAGTCAAACTATCCCACAAACATCTCCATCTTTCTCCACCACCTTAATCTATTCCATTATCCCAGGTAGCTGGCGAAGAAGGTTCTAGAGCAGAGTCATATTATGACCAGTCCTACCCTCCATGTGGCAGAAAGAGTTTCAGCAGATGGAGGGCATGCAGCCTTAGGAGAAAAGGCTTGCAAATAGCATCATATGGAGCGACCCAAGCCTTCAGGGTCCTCATTGGTACTACCTTCTCAGCCTGGGGTGTTGAGGCTTGGGTCAGGGAACTGGGCTAACAGTGAGGGTGTGGGTTTCAGCCACATACTAGGATAACCTGAAAAGATACCGTGTTTGTGATCCTGCATGGGGATCATCAAATTGAGCTTCCAGACCTCATAGCTTCTGTTCTGGAGTTTCCTGCCATGCTGAAAAGCCTCAGTTACTTTCTTGGGACACATCTCAAAATGACACTGTTTCCACATCCTTAATACTATGGGTTCCAGCCACTTCCTTAAACACTGCCCTTTGATTCACTAGTGTTCTGAGGCCCCAAGTACCTCCCAGAGCTTTCCCAACTTTTGTGCTAGTACTGGAGCTAGTACTCAAGGCCTCATGCTCTTGCTTGGCTTTTTCTGCTCAAAGCTGGAGCCCTATTAATTGAGCCATACCTCTACTTCCAGCTTTTTGCTGCTTAATGGGATCGCTACGAGTCCCTTGGATTTGTCTTCTCATGCTGGCTTCAAACCACGATCCTCAGATCTCAGACCTCCTGGATAATGAGGATTGCAGGTGTGAGCCACTGGCACCTGGCTAGAACTCCATTTCTGAAGACAAGCAGGAAGAGCTGTGCTCTTACACTGTACTCCTAATAGAAACCTGTTTGTGCCTTTTCAACAATACTCAGCCACAAGCCCTGGTCCCCAGGGGAAGGGGGCAGTCTCTGAACTCTTGTAGCTACTAGATCCTAAGAAGCACTAGGGTGAGAAGGGCTTTAGGGGGCTTTTTTACTGACATCCATGGGTCATTCATGACATTCCTTGGGGCTCTCAGACATTTGGGGAAGTTTTTCCTGGATGACTATCTTACCTTAGATTATTTATATGACCTACCATGGTTGGGCCAAGGATTACAAAGGGTGGCTCTTGCCAGGGTAGCATAGGCTCTGCTCTCCTAGGTACTCTATGAAGGGCAGCCCTGGCCCAATGGTACTTCAAGACTCCAGGTTTTTAAGCTAGGTGCTAGTGGCTCATGCCTGTCATCCTAGCTACTCAGGATGATGAGGAATTGTGGTTTGAAACCAGCCTGGAGACTTAAGTCTATAAGACTTCATCTCCAATTAAGTGCTTTCAAAAAAGGCAGAAGTAGAGCTGTGGCTCAAGTGGTAGAGCATAAGCCTTGAGCAAAATAGCTCAGAGACAGCACCCAGAGCCTGAGTTCAACCCCCAGGACTGGCACCACCACCAACAAAAAAGTGCAGGCTCTTGGCAAGTGCTCGGCCTTCCCTCTTCCTTTTCCTGTCAGCCTGGCTATATAGCCCGAACATTCTCTTCCCCTCTCATGGCACCTCACAGCCACTCTTCTCAGAAATATCCAGCTGCAGGGCAGCCTCTAGAGTTGCCCAGCCTTGGGTCAGATTGGAAGATGCTAACTATTGGTGTTTATGATACTTCTCTGCTCTGGAGAAAGAAACCAAGTCCCAGCTGTGGAAAAGGTTTCTAAAAGCCAAAGTAATAGGAGCAAATCCAAGTCCAGTACAAGGAAAAGCAAACAACACTCAGATTTGGGTAGGAGAGACCCTAAGAAGGGCTGCCCAAGGCCTGGGTAGGCCTGAGGCTTGTACAGGTAGCAGCCCCCAGGCCTTTAAGACTCAACTGTTTTCAAGGTCTCCCCCTAACTGGGTCCTGTCTCCCTCCTCTAAAGCAGGTGGGGTTGGGGGAGTGTGGGAGTTTCCCCCAGGCACTAGGGGCTACAGCCTGGCACTGCTGTGCTGTGTTGCCCAGGGACATCTGTACCCCCCACAGGGGTGCTGTGAGCATGCCCATCCTCGTAGGAGGGAAGAGGGGAGGAGGCGGTGGGTGCCGTGGAAACTTGGGCTCCTGACAACTTGAGGGCTGCCTCCAAAATAGCTGCCTCAGCTCCCCAAACCAGAAAGGCATGTCAGAGAAAATAACTGTGGTACCCATATGAAACCGGACACCCGGTTCACGGTATCCCCATCAGACCCTGACCCTCCATGCCAGCAGCCCTGTGGGGCAGGGCTGGACCTGCTGTGAGGAATCTGGGCTCTGTCTTGGCTGAGGGGGAGGAGGAAGGGAAGGGCATCTCCGTCTTGCTCCACAGGCTTCTCCATCCTGTCTCTTAAAAGGGTCTGTCCCCTCTAAAGGCTGGTCACAGGGATGTCCCTGTACTCCCTCTCAAACTTATGGGTCGCTTCATTCTGACAGCAAGCGGCAGACAGCCTCACAAACCACAGTAGGACTGGTATCCTCTCTAGAGAGCTATCCTGCATCTGCTCAGGGTTGCTAGATGCACTAAAATTATGAAGCTCCTGGCATAGGTTTTACACCATACCTCAACCCCAGGAAACAATCTGATCTTTCTCCCCCAGCCACCTTTTGAGGTAAGCTACAGATTTCCCAGCCTCCTGCCAGATCCCTAAAGCTGTCTTGCCAGGCCTATCTTTGCTACTCTGGAGGGAGCAGATATGGACTTTCCTTAGTCACTCCCTCTACCAAGTTGCATAATCTGACTCTAAAAATTGCCAGACACAGGGCTCTGCTGTCAGGTCTAATTCCCATCAGGTGAAACAGGAAACGTCTTGGCTTGAGGCTTTCTTTCCTCTTCCTGGGTCTTAGGCTGAGGAAGGGGCTTGCTGGGGGGAGGGCCCAGCGAGCAGGTGTGCGCCTCCCTAGGATTGGCAGCAGCAGGTGCAGGCAGGATGGCTTCTGTCGCCTCACTTCCCCTCAGCTGTCCCTGCGCAAGGTGTACCCCTGCTCACTCAATGACTCACAAACCTGTTGTGCTCCCGGGCTCGTTAGGTAAATGAATACACTTAATTATAGAAATTAGATGAGTCCCCGTTCTGGCAGGAATACAGAGCAGAGGCTGGGTGGGAGCGGCAGGTGACTCAGAGGCAGGGCTGGGAATCTGAGGGACCAGGAGAGGGAGTGAATTGTCGCAGAAGCAGAGGAAGCAGTGTAGAGATGGCTGTGGCACAGGGTGCAGATGGGATGCTGGGTGGGCTGTTGGGTATCACTGCGGAATCTGGGCATGGGCCACTGGAGAAGAGCACTTCCCTGCACCCAAACAGCCTGCCCAAGGCTTAGAAGCCCAAGAAGCCTCTATCTGCAACCTAGGCCAAAGCTGGAAAATACCAAGCCCCTGCTCCCAGGGCTGCGCCGCTCAGGGATCCTGCTTTTCTGAGGAAACAAACCCCCTTTATGCCCGCAGAAAATGCTCCACATGACAGCCTTGTTCTTTGCTGTTCTTAGTGTGGAATGGACAGACAGACAGACAGATAGGCTGCTTGCTTACTGGTTAAAGGCCACAGGAATGGCAATGCATAATAGGAAATATTAATAGGCTGGCACCAGTGGCTCATGCCTGTAATCCCAGCTACTCAGGAAGCTGTGATCTGAGGATAACAGTTCAAAGTCAGCCCAGACAGGAAAGTTTGTATGATTCTTATCCCCAATTAACCAGTAAAAAGCCAGAAGTGGAGCTGTGGCTCAAGTGGTAGAGCACAAGTCTTGAGTAAATAAAGCCAAGGAAGCACACCCAGGTCCTGAGTTTAAGCTCCAATACTGGTACAAAAAAAAAATTAATGTAGGCATGCCTCCTTGGCAAGGCTAAGTGGTTCCAGGTATAACATGTACTATCCATCAGCCCATGGGACCCAGGTGGGGTGGGGTGGGGGAGCATGGGGAAGCAGAGCCCGAGACACATAGCCTAAATGTGCTGGCACCTCTGGCTCAGAAGAGATCAGATAGATGGAAGGCATGGTAGGAGGCCTCGCAGGAATCTCCCCTTGTGTCTAGGCTATACTGCTAAGCATGTTGGGGAGCTGGGTGCTGGGTAGGAGAGGCTTGGGGGCCTGAATGCTCCTCAACTGACTGGCTACTTTCTCCCTTTGCTCTCCTCCAGCCCCAGGAGGGCTCGGAACTGGGAGGGCAGGTGACTGTGTCTGCTTGGAGTGTGCATTCCTGTGCCCAGAGGCACAGCTAAGGGGCAGAGTGGCCAGGTGGGGGGCTGGTGAGGGAATGGAAGGGATGGGAGAGCAGGAGCTTTCTTGGAGGGTAGGGTGAGCTGTACCGCGATGCCAATGGAGACAGCCCCAGACTGGTTCCAGCCGCTCCGGCTATGTTGTTTAGACTCCGGGACTTTTCACAGCCTTGGTGAAGAAAAGGCACATGGGTCAGAAGGGCACGGCTCCTTCGGAGCAGCTCCATGGCACATTTCAGGGAACTCTGGCAGGATAAGTAGCCCAGATGGAGGGATCTTTCCCCTCCTGGAGAGGTTTCCTCACTCTCCCTGGCCCCTGGGTCTCCTGGGTTCCTAAAGACAAATCCCAGCCAGTTGATCTTTGTCCTGTCCTATCCTCAAACTAAATTATCCTCCTGCTCCTTGATGACCCTCATGCACAAAGACTGCCCCCCCCACTCCTTCAAGAATCCATCTTCTCCACCCTAAGAAACCCCAGTTTAGAACCTTCCACCTTCCTCTCAGAAGCCGACACTCTGATGCATGGGCAGCTACAGCTTAATGATGGGGTCAGTGCCAATGGCTCCATGAAGTCCAGACCCATTCTCTCCTGGTCCTACATGTAGCTGAGTAAAGAGAGGTGCGGCATTGTATGATGTGGGGAAAGTTGTTGAATGCACACTGGGAGTTTGGCGATGTTAATTGCCACACTTGCTTAGCAGGGCCCGTTTCCCAGCAACCCACCTGTTCCCTCTCGAAGGTCACTCTAATTGGCTGAGTTACATGCTTGTTGCCAAGAAGCAGTGTGGAGGCATCTTGAAAATAGAGCAGCTGGGCCCCACAGCACCCCAGAGAGACAGGGTGGGATGCGGGCTCCATTACCCAGTGCACATGCACCCGTTTTTCATAAGTGAGGCTGTTGCCAGTGCACTGGGACTTTTTAACTTGCACCCTCACACATCTACTTCCACAGAGCCCTTCACAGCACAGGGAGGGAAGTAGGGGTGCTTGGCACTGGCTCTGTTTGCTCAAGTCCTCCATGGGGTTGGGGTTCTCTCTACCCCATATTTGAGGCTGTCCATTTACCAGGCTCCAGCCAGAGCCAGGCTGAATGATGCAGTACACTGCATATTTGAAGCAGAAGATGGGAGAGGAGGGCACGTCCCGAGCCTGAGGACCGGGGCACAGGAGTGACAAGTGAGTTATGAGTTCTGATCGTTCTCCATCTGCAGCCATTTGTCTGGAGCCTCTGGGCCGTCTCCTTCCAGATGCCACATTGCTGATCCCTCTTCTGCCACCCAAGACACATGTGCTAGATATACAACATCAGGATCTGGCAAAGTCAGGGTGGCCTGGGGATCTCATAGGAATGGTGGTGCTTAGAAGGCCTGAGAAGGTGCCCCGGGAGCCCTCTTGGGCAGCCAGATGACATCTACAGGGGCCAGACACATCACATACTCTCCCTGATGCAGCCAATGACCCTGCCTCACTGAAACTGGTCTCTAACTGGGGTATAGAACAATGGGAAGTAGGGGGTTGAACTGGCTGATTAAGAAGCACCCAGAAAGCTAGGGATGAGTTTTATTTTAGGAAGAGCTAAGACTTGTCCTAGAATTAAGGGAGGGTGTTTAGGAAGGTTAGGTCACAGGAGTGGGCAAAAAACATAAACATGAACAGAAACCAGAGAAGACTATCTGGTCTCAAGATTGTTGGTCCTTGCTCATGCTCAATCATTTTACCCTCTCTTCTAGGGCAGGAGTCCCTGGTTCCACAGCCTAACCTCTGCCCTGCCCCCACAGTGGGCGCAAGGCCTGATGTTAGAATTCCTCCCTTCCTAGGCAGGGAAGGGGCTGGTCCCCAACTCTCAAAATCCTTCAGGTCACTCTGAAGGGGATGGGTCTCCCTTGCAGACTTTCACATCCTAGGTACTTGCAAATCCAGCCTCCAGGCTCCCAGTGCAGGATGGAAGGGAGGGGGCCTTGTGCAGGCTCTCTGAAGACCTGGGACCTGGTATTTCCTGGGACTACTTCCTTAGGGCAGGAAATGCCTCTTATTCAGGAGATGTAAGGCGAGGATGTAAGGCAGTGAACTTGTAGGCCAGGTTTGAAGGCAGGAGCAGGTCTCAGAGGCAGTGAACGTGATGAAAATGGAGGGGAGGAGCTAAGCCCCTGGCCTAGTGCCCCTCAAACTTCCTTAGCATTGATCTTCCCCATGGGCACTTTGGGGAGAGGGAGGGCTCTAAGGCCTTTTTCAAGATTATGGAAGCATTTCTAATCTAGAAACTGGGAGATCAGAGTACCAATTCTAAAAGCGGGGATGCATCCAAGGCAGAGGAGATGGTGGCCATGGACTCCGGGGAGGAGGGGACCTCAAGCTCTTTGGAGAAGGTTGAGGATTCTCAGCTTTGTGGGGGCTCCCCACCTTCCCGGCTTGGGGAACCATACCTTTTCGGACACTGCCATCAGCACAGGCATAGTCCCCAGCACTGAGCAGGAAGCAGGCGGCTGCCTTCTTGTTTCTGTCCCGTGTGCCAGAGCGGCGCAGGGCCCGGCGCTCCTCGGGGGTAGGGGCAGAGGCCAGGGGCTGGGTGAGGCCAGCTCCCTCCTCATCAGACAGCACCGCATTAGCATCGCCATTCTGCTTGGAGTCTGAAGGGCAGACAGAAAAGAGGCTGAGGAGCTGTTGTGGGGCCCATCTGGGGTCTCTCAGATTCCAGACCCAGAATGTTCCTTCTTTAACCCGAGGAGGGGCCTAGGGTCACTGAGAAGGAGTGTCATCAGAGCCAGGGAGCAGGCCTGTGTGTAGGACAGGGGCCAATGGCAAAAAGGATGCTGTGCTTGCTTATTTTTTTAAGTTTTACTCAGGACCTTGTGCTGTTCCTTGGCTATTTTGCTCAGGGTTAAGCATTCTACCACTTGAATCGCAACCCCTCTTCCAGCTTTTTGGTAGTTAACTGGAGATAAGAGTCTCACAAATTTTCCTGCTGCAGATGGCTGTGAACCACAATCCTCAGATCTCAGCCTCTTGAGGAACTGGGATTATAGGCATGAGCCACCAACACCTGGCTGTGCTTGCTTCTGAAAGTAGTTTCTTTCCCAATCTAGGTCTGGTCTATAGAATATTCCCTGGAGTTGGAATATAGGACAGACACCCCACGTCTAGACCCCTCACACCAGCCTGCTAGAGATGTACCAGATCAGCCCAAGGCAGGTGACAGGCAGACCCAGCTTCCCCTGGGTCTGACTCAGGCTGGCTCTGGGTGAGTGTGGTGGCCCAGGGAAGGCCTGAGTTGAGGGGTCAAACTTATTCAGAGGTATCCCACTGTACCACCTAAAGTGGATGTTCTGTTCACTAGGTAGCTAGGCCCAAGGCCAGTGCCCAAAAGATTTGGGGGTCCTCTGCTCAAAGAGGACTCTCTTAGTGTCAAGGAGACACTTGGGAAGAGGCTCTGATTCATCTCTCCAGTGCAACACTGTGAGCTCTTACCCCTGGCCTCTGTCAAGCGGCTGCATTGTAATGCTAGAGTAAGGTGGTGACTCTGACATTGACAGCAAGCAGCCAGACAGGCTAAACACATGGCTGACAGGGCCTCAGTGATGTGTGCACTGAAGAGTGCACCCAAGAACTCTGCATTTGGTTATGAGGATCTGACTGGACTTTTAGAGGACAGAAAGGATTGCCTGGGACATTTATGTTCACAGATCAGGAAGGAGTACCACTGTGGTAGGAAGAGAAACCCTGGGGGCCGGGTACTGTCCTGTCAAAACTCTCTACCAGGGAAGACCCCAGGAAGGGAGTGGCCCCAGCAGAAATTATGGGCACAGGCCAAGAAACCTCAGCTGAGTGTCCTGATTCAGGTGGCTCCCAAGGACTCCAGCTAGTTTGTCACAGCGCCTAGCTAGATGTTCCTGCCTCAGTCTGTTGGTTCAGCCCAGCGCTGTTAGTCTGATGTCCAACAGTCTTCCAACTGGGCACCCCACTCTTCCCAGGAGCCCAGCCCATCCTAAACACTGGTATCTTTCCCACCTTCTGGCCTAGCCTGCATTGCTGGGAAAGGAGCTAATTTCCTTTTTAATGTCCTAATCCAGTGCAAGTGAGCTTTCTTGGGCGGCCTTTCCTTGCAGGAAAAGGTAAGACTCCATGCCTAAGACCTCCCTTCCAGGGATGCAGACATCAAGTTCTTCAATCTTCCTCCCTTCTCAAGACTGTCTGGGCCACTCCTTTCTTGGTTCCTTTCCATGCATGTCAAACCCTGAGCCCAGGCCTCCCTCTGGCTTGTGCTGAACAGAAGGCAGCCACCCACTGCTGTTACGTTATCACATTTATTGTGCCCAGAGACACCAGACGAGACGATTGGGAAAGAGGTGAATCATGTGTTGATGCACCTTGGAGGAACAGCTGCCCTGCTCTCTGGCTAATGGCAGTGCTCAGCTTTTGTAAAGCGATTTTAACTTCTCAAAGTGCTTCACTCATTTGGGTCTCATCAGTCTGGGGCTAGGATATAGATATAGCATTCCTACCTTACAGGAAGTCTATGCTGAGAGGGAAAGTGACCTGTCTCGGGACACACAGACAGAGACTTCCCGGCCTTCTAACACAGAACACCATGCATGTTCATCAGAGCCTGAGCTGGATGGAATACTCGACAGATTCTGACATTCAGAATGTCCAGAAAGCCACAAACTAAGGTTGATCTCTTCTCCCTCTTTCCCTCCCTCCTTCCCTCCCTCCTTACTTTTGGTGGTACTGAGGTTTGAACTGAGGGACTCAACACTAGCCAGACAGGCTCTCTTTCTGAGCCACACCTACAGCTCCCTAACAGTACATCCTATACTGAGGCCACTATAATAAACCAAGGCAGTTCACCCAGGGGGTTCTCTGGGCCACTTACGAGTAAAGGGGTCCTCCTCCCCAAACCCCACTCACCTGCTCGTTTCCTCTCCAGCACGCCCTCTTCCCGGGCAGGGGGGCTGGTGTCACTGTAGGTGCTGTCCCGGGGCGAGGTCTCCTCTGATTTGCAGTAGATGGGCGACTCAAGCTGAGCTGGCCGGGGCACGTGCTTCTTCCGCTTCTTGGGCAGCTTCTGCTTGGCCATGGCTAGGGAGTAGTACATGCCGAAATTGTTGACAATGACCGGCACCGGCATGGCTATGGTCAGCACCCCAGCCAGTGCACACAGCGCCCCCACCAGCATGCCAGACCACGTCTTGGGGTACATGTCCCCGTAGCCCAGCGTCGTCATGGTGACCACGGCCCACCAGAAGCCAATGGGGATGTTCTTGAAATCGGTGTGGTCGTTGCCCCGTGGGTCGGAGGGCCTGGCCCCTATGCGCTCCGCATAGTAGATCATGGTGGCAAAGATGAGCACGCCCAAAGCCAGGAAGATGATGAGCAGCAGGAACTCGTTGGTGCTGGCGCGGAGCGTGTGGCCCAGCACACGCAGCCCCACGAAGTGACGCGTGAGCTTGAAGATCCGCAGGATGCGCACGAAGCGCACAACGCGCAGGAAGCCCAGCACGTCGCGGGCCGCCTTGGACGACAGGCCGCTGAGTCCCACCTCCAGGTAGAAGGGCAGGATGGCCACAAAGTCGATGATGTTGAGCAGGTTCTTGACAAAGTCCAGCGTGTCAGGACAGCACACGATGCGCACCAGAAACTCCAGCGTGAACCACAGCACGCACACGCCCTCGATGTAGGTCAGAATGGGCTCTGTCTCCACCTCCCGGCGGAAGCGCACGCTGGTGATGTTCCCCACCCGGTGGATTTCAGTTACATTGCGGTCAATGTTGAAGGCCTCATGAGTCTCCAGGCAGAAGGTGGTGATGGAGACCAGGATGAAGAAAAGAGAGGCAAAGGCCACTACCTGTGGGCCAGGGAGGGAGGACAGTTTAAGGAAGCTGTCAAGACAAGGGTGGATGGACCTTGCTGAGAACAGCGATCTCTGCTCATGGAGAGTAAGCACACCGGCTACCCACCAGGCAGTCTTTTCAGACTAAAAGTGGGATTAAGAGGAGCTAGAACTCTCCTTGGAAGGGATGTGTGGAGGAGTGTGAGTACTAAGGCTTGAACTCAGACTCTGGGGACATCTCCTTAACTTTTTTGCTCAATGCTAGTGCTCTAAGCACTTCAACCACAGCTCTACTTCCCGCTTTTTGATGGCTAATTGGACTTTCCTACCTGGGCTAGCTTTGAACCATGATCCTCATATTTCAGCTTGGGTAGCTAGGATTAAAGGTATAAGCCACTGGCTACCTCCTTGGAGGGTTTTAATATACCTGTGTGGGTGTTGTAGAGCAATATTTCCTATCTTCACAGAATGCACAGAAGACAGAGGCTGCCCTTGGCTGGAAGCCATATGTCAAGGAATAACAGCTGCCTGGCCCTTCCTGCAGTAGTTCTGCCAACCTTAGCCTCTTTCCTGTTTCAAGGCTTCTTAAACCATGATGGGTTACCAATCAGCTGAAAAGTAATTCCAAGGCCATTTTGTCTCAGGAGATTTGGGGTAAGGCCTGTAATCCTACCGTTCTCACAAGCTTGGAAGCTGAGGCTGTGTCCACTGACCACTGCTGAAGTAAGCAAGCTGTAAGACACTGATTTCTCAAAGCAAGGGCCTGTGGCCAGAAGTACCAGATCCCTGGAAACTGGTTACACAGATTTCAAGACCCACCCAAACTGAGTGAGGTAAAGGGCTTAGTAATCTACTTTAATAACCCTCCTATGGCAATCCTGATATCCAAATTTAAGGCCCACTGTTTTCAGGAATGTCCACAGGCAAGGACCTCTTTCTGCTGGCTAAGTCTATTATCCACAGCTCTAGACATGGCCCACCTAGTTTGTCCCTGATGACTGTGTAGGTGGTAAGGAAATCTGTGAAAAGACAACATGCCCTATGGCAGGTGACGAGGTGGTCTGCCCAAGACAACCAGTCTTCCCCTTCCTGGAAATGGACACTGAGCTCTACAGAAAAATGAACTGCACCCATCAGGATCACTGTGGCTGACTGATCCTGATAGCTGCTGTTGGAATTACGACAGCAGCACTCGGTAGACGAACAGCCAGGCTTAAGTGTCCAATCATTATGAATGGAGATGAGATGCATGTGTAATAACACCAATTACGGAGCCTTCATCTGTTATTCATGCCTTGCCATTCAACATTCAGTGCTGCCCCGTTGCTGGGGTCTTATCTCCTTTCCTGGCTATATTGCTCATCCTGCTTGGGTGTGGCTAGGCACCCTCCCTGAGTAGGTGACTGAGGATAATGGGGGTGGGGGGGAAAGGAGGGAGTGAGGAAGGTCTTGTCCCATTTTTTTTTTTTTTTTACAACTCCTAGGTTTTCTCTGCCAGGATTTCCATCCACTGCAGGCAGATCTGTTTTTCAGAGGTTTTCATCCTGAGGCGTCTGTATCGGGGAGGGGGAGGAGCAGTCTGTTCTTAGGACTGTAAAACACCAATGGTGAGCACAGGGCAATCAGACAGACAAGACAAGCAGCAGCACCTCTAGGGCCTTTGGAGCTGGACAAGTCCAAGGAGAGAACTTTGAGCACAGACATTCATCAGCTGTCATTCTGTGCCCAGCACGGTTAGTCACTCTGTATGCATCATCCCCTTCATGCTTCCCAGTCATCTGGGAGGCAAGTCATATCCCATTTTACACTGGAGGGACTGGAGATCAGGCAGGTTACATACATGTCTCAGATTACACAGCCTGGGAGAGATGGAAACCAGCGTAAAACTGAAAACTGACTTAAAAGTCCATACATTCCTTTCCTACCACGCTGTCTTTACCATCTCCTGGGCAAGGCTATTTCCCAGGCCCAGGAATGCCAGCTCTAAATGATCAAACCTTCCTGTCACCTCCCTGATACCTGCTATTTCATCTTGGGGGGATGTACCTTGGACTTAAGACAGAGCCCCCATCTCCCACTGTGGGGTTTCTCTTCCACTTGAGCAGGATGGGTTGATCAGAAAGAGGTTGGAAAGGAAAGAAGGGTCCATAGACAGATATGCTCCCTACTTTATAGCTGTGTCTGCAGCCCATCCTGCCTGCTTCTCCCCAGGAAGGGGAATTTCCATGCCCTTGCTGGCCTCACAAGCCAAGCCAATGCAGGTTGAAAAAGCTGTGGGCAAATGGCTCCAGCCTGTGGCTCTTCTCAGCCAACAGAGATGAATTGGCAAAAGCACCTGCTGGTGGTGAGTGACGCTGGGGGGCGAGGGGAGGTGATCCTGACTCCATTGCCTTCTCCAAGAAGCAGAAGGGGCTGGAGAAGGGGCAGGAATGACTAGGAAGCACGGGGAAGTGTGCATTCTCTCAGGGACAGTTAGCTAGGAGAGATGCCCCACCTGGGAGCCTGCGCATGAGGTTAATTAGTGATGTGGAAAAACAAGTTGAGGAAGAGCTGCCAAGGGGCGAGCAGAGGGAGCAGAGCCGGGAGGGGTTTGGTCTCACCCACAGGCCAGGACACTTTCATGGCTGCCTGCCCCGGCGGCCACTGCCTAGGTTCCTGCAGTAGGCAAGGGTACTTTTCAAATCTCACGAGGTACAGACCACTCTCCGGGGGAGAAGCACACTCAGTTTTTTTCATTTGTTTTGGCTTGGTAATTTTTTGTGCTGGTACTGGGGCTTGAACTGAGGGTCTGGGAGCTGTCCTTTAGCTTTTTTGCTCAAGACTGATGCTCTACCACTTAAGCCACAGCTCTATGGCTTGTTGATAATTCAGAAATAAGAGACTCAAGAACCTACCTGCCTACCATGGCTTAGAACCCTCCATCCTCAGATCTCAGCCTCCTGAATAGGTAGCATTATATATGAGATCCACCAGTGCCAGCTTTACTATCTTCTTGTTTGAGAACATAGCAGTCTACTGTATTACTCGGGGTTATAGGTTCCTGCAGAGCCTATATTATTCCTCTCCCCTGAATCATTCCCCAAGCTGCATTCTTTCCTAAGCTAACCTGCAGGTCGTTGATGTCCTCCCCAGGGACAAGAACACTGTTTTTTTTCTTTTCCATGAGGCCCTTAGTTGGGGGTCTCCCAGGACAAAAAGGGGCTCAGGAAGTAACTGGAGCAATGTCATCCTGCAAGGGGGCAGAGCTTGTGCTTGAGCCTTAGCCCCAAAGGGCTACCCTTCAGGGCAAGCAGGTACATCTGAGTTCCCTGTCCCTCAGCCCAACTGAGAGCAGAAGACAGCTAAGGAGCTCTGGGCTGGAAGCCTTGGGTTGGTGAGGGCAGTGGGGTTCTGCAGTGGTGCTTACCCTTAACCAGGTAAGTGAAGCCTTGTGCTGTTTCCATGGTGGAAACTAACAGATCTTTCCATTACATGAAGACACAGGCCATGAATCTTGCTGGGAGCCCAAATGTGGTCCAAACAACAATAACAAAAAAGTGAACTAGCTTTACCATGACCAGCTCCCCTTCTCTTCTAAATACCCTGGATAGGAAGCTCTTGCCTGTTAGGACAGCACTTCTCCCAGCAGACATGGGTCCTGCAAGTACTGTCCATCTCCAAAAGCCTAGGTGTTTTAGCTAGTGAACCAGCTCTCCAGCCAGCTTCCTCCGCCATTCTCTCTTTAAGATGGTCTTGAGCTGGGTGCCAGTGGCTCATACCTATAATCCAACCTACTCAGTCTAAAATCTAAAGATCACAGTTTGAAGGTAGTAGCCCAGGCAGGAGAGTCTGTGAGACTCTTACCTCTAATTAATCACCAAACAAAAGCTAGAAGTGGAGGTGTGGTTTAAGTTATAGAGTATCAGCCTTGAATGAAAAAGCTAAGGGACAGGATCCAGGTCCTGAATTCAAGTCCTAGTTCAAGCACGCATGCGTGCATGTTTGCATAGGCACACACAACTGTCTTTGGACAAAGGAGAGGACATACTTCTTGATTCAAGTCTGGTTCTTCCACTAACCTGTGTTATAACATGGAAATCCAAGCACCTACAACATGCCACGGTGTTGGAAAGGGCAGAAAACATCCTAAACATGCTTATGGAAGACTGTTCATAATTAAATAAGTAAAAAATACATAGCTTGTCAGAAAGTGCGAAGGACATAGGAAAAATATCAGAGAGGTGGGGTCTGACATGGGAGAGAAAATTCAAATAGGATGGTCTGGTAAGATCACAAAGACAAGGTGATGAGAGCCCTGAGAGAGTGAGGGGGGAGTCCCAGGAAAAGCCTTCGGAGTTCCTGAGGCAGAAGGAACAGACACTGTACGGCCTTAAGGCTATAGTGTGCATGGCGTGCTAGAGGAGAACCTACTCTCTATGGCTGGTTGATCTGAGGATTAAATGATTCTTGTGAAACTCAGCACAGAGCTTAGTGTCTCAGAAATCTGGCACAGGCTAAGGGGAAGAGGTGACAGACACCAATCACTGGGAACTGCATACAACCACTGGGGACAAGGGAAGGGAGCCTAAGGAAGGAGGGCCAAGGAGACAGATGGACAGATAAACATAAGGAGACTCATACCCAAAAACCTATATTAAGGATGAAGTGTAGGAGAGGGGAAAATTGAGAACACAGCCAAAGCGTGCAGAGGAAGATCCATGGTGATGGGTGAGGGGCTGAGCCTCCTCAGGAAGTGAGATCCCAGTGCTCAAGTAGTGCTGGGAAGGGAGCAGAGCATCTTGGAATATGAGCAGTAAAGGGACAGAGCCTGCTTGAAGAAGGTATCTTTCCATTGTCTCTGGATCCTGGGTGACCACCTGCACTGAGGCCCAGAACCTAGCATCAGGGTGCCTCTGGCTGCACCCCCCCCACCCTGCCCCGCCTCCCTTAGGAATAAGCCTTGGCCCTCTCAGCCTGAGCTAGGACCTTCTGATTCCAGCATCCAGAACCAATCTCCCCCTGGGCTCAGCCTCTGC